TTCAACAGAACTTAGCAGATATGAGACAGATTCCAAAGTGGTGGTCTTTGCTATTTGCAGATTTTGGCATTTTTATTTTTCTCAGTTTCCATGGAAACGATTTGGACTTATTCTCAAAAAGGAGGGGTGGGCTTTGTTTCCAGAGCACAACTCGAAAACCGGTCAATATCTTGCAGTCTTCTTCCAACTTCCAACATGCCAAATGCATATATCTGTTCCTGACGTGACAGACACTGCATGCCATAAAACCTTTGAGTTTAAAACAATGTCAGAAGAACTTCAGTCTGGTTTTTATCACTGATTGGTTGGCTGGTTGGGTTGTTGTTTAACGCTGCACTCAGCAATACTCCAGCTTTGTGGCGACAATCTTTAACCGGACAATCCAGTGATCAACAGCATGAGCATCGATCTATTTAATTGGGATACATTTACATGTGTAAACCAAGTCAGTGAGCCTGACCACCTGATCCGGTTAGTTGCCTCTTACGACAAGCATGGGTTACTGAAGACCAATTCTAACCTGGATCTTCATGGGTTTTTTATCACTGAAATGCACAGCAACATACTGACATGTTTGACTGTAAATTGTGAATTTTACCATGACATGTTCATATGCACATCATGAAAAAATATTTGCTAGAAATTGGCATGTTTGCATGAAATTCATAACATCTTGTGTATGGATTAACCATTTTCTAAGTCCATATACAATTATACAACTTAGTTCCTAAAATAATGTTAGCCCCAAATGGAATAACCCCCATGTTTAGTATATAACTTTGTATACATCGTGGGGTTCAACTTGCTCAACTTCTTGTCAATACAACAAAGTGAAACATGGATGTTCTAGCAAGTAATTTTACTCAATATTGTACAAACAATCCATGTGTTCTAAGCGTATTATTAACATAAGTTGTCCACTGATATGGGCAGCAATTTGGTCCAAAATACCTCCAGGGTTTTATGCAATGCACAATTGTGCGTCCCGTACACACAAATGTAGAGAATGGACGCAGAAAGAAGTCACTGTGTTCAGAGGGACGCATAGTATTATTCAATGACTTTGCTAAGTGTTTTGGAGTTCCTTTCAGAGCAGTTACATGCATAATTTCATCCATCAGTCCAATGATTCATTCCATTTTCTAAAGAAATTAAGAAATTGTACAGACCTCTACACTCTCAAATTGCCTCCAAGGACCCTCAAAACTAATAATTAGGGACCCCAAGGACCCCCATGTTTGTGAGTCGAGGTAAAACCACAGTAACCACAGGAATGTTGTGAATAAATTAATATACTACAAACAAAACGTATGGGAACACCCTAAAATTTGATAGTCATATATAAACTTAAACATGGTGAGGTCATTTATACTCTAAGGTAAATGCAACTTTTTGTGTGTTTAATGGACATGTGTTTAAACGACATGTTGGAACATGCACTGAAGCAACTGATACAGTATTCGTTGAGTTTGAGTGAAATGAAATATTGACAAAAACAGTGAAAAACAAGGGTGCTGAAACACACCAGCACTATGTTTGATTCAAACGCCCAAACAGAACAGCCAAGACAGACTTCCCATGCAGCTTGTGGCAATGTTTCCTTTTAAAGAAGCTACAGACAGTCTTGAGGCATCACAACTTCTTCACCATGTCACAGCCCAGACTGTTAAGCGCCCACGGCAGAAGCAGGGCCATTGCATGGTTACAGGATGGTGAATCCATAAGAAGTGCTGCTCGCATCTTCAGGTGTCGCTCTCTGTCATTCACAGACCGATGGACAGGTTCCATGCCACTGGTTGAGTACAGTCATCACTCTGAAAAACATCAAGGGCAGAAGACCGATATGTTGTTCTCCAAGCCCTTCGGAACAAATTCAGAACTGCCAGTGCCCAGTTGCTGCATGGGAAGTCTGTCTTACACATGCACTAGGCTGTTCTGTTTAAGCGTTTGTATCAAACATGGTGCTGGTGTGTTTCAGACCCTTGTCTTTCACTGATTGACAATGTTAAATTTCACTCAAACTCAACGAATATTGAATCAGTTGCTTCACTTCATGTTCCAACATGTTGTTTAAAGTGCCCATTCAGCACACAAAAAGTTGCATTTACCTTAGAGTATAAATGACCTTACCACGTTTAAGTTTGTATATGGCTATCAAATTTTGAGGTGTTCCCATACTTTTTGTTTGTAGTATAGATGCTGAGGTGAATAATGTATTATGTAATTTGTCATGCACCCTCTATGTGAAGTCATCTGTGGGACAAGGAAATATTGTTTGATATGAAGCTTTCTTATTTGTGAGATTTACAATACTAGCCTTGATTAACACAATATTTTCCAAAATGTTCCTATTTCCTTGTGGCTAAATGTTCAACATCAAATCACAGCATGCTCATGTGTATGTACACAGAGGAAAATGCAGATTAAACCCTGAATTTGGAACCAACTGCACCACCATCAGACTTTCTTTGTAGTAATGTTGTCCTTTCAAAGAGCTCTGAATATCATGATGAAAAAGAGTGAGTGAGTAAGTTTAGTTGTACGCCGCACTCAGCAATATTCCAGCTATATGGCGGAGGTCTGTAAATAATCAAGTCTGGACCAGACAATCCAGTGATCAACAACATGAGCATCGACCTGCGCAATTGGGAACCGATGACATGTGTCGACCAAGTCAACGAGCCTGACCACCCGATCCCTTTAGTCGCCTCTTACGACAAGCATGGGTTCATTCTAACCCTAATCTTCACGGGTTGATGAAAAAGAAACACAACAAACCAAAGCATGGATGAGGGGATGATATGTAGAACTCTTCTTGTCTGGCAACAAACAGAATAACTCAGGGAAAGATTCATTAGAAGTGTGGGAATGAAAAACATAAAGCTGGTAAAATCAACATAAATCTTGGGGCAGATCTTGAAGGTACCATCCATGGAAACAGCACTGCTCTTGCACAGCCTTTGCAGGTTATCAACAGTAGCAAATACAAGAATTCTACAACACTTTCTTGAAGATCGTCTATGAGCAGAAAAAGTCTCTGTCCATTCACCATCTAGCTGGATATCTGTTGCTGCTTGCGGTGTCGGTGGAACTTTCTTGGCACGTTGGCTGTACAAACTCGACTTCACACTGTGAAAGAGCTTACGATTTGTAGCAACTTCTAGTGGTGTTGCATCTGCTGAACCTGTCAGTAGTTTCTTTCTTTCTTGTTCATATATCTGTGGGATGCTGATGAGTTCCTCTCTGGCTCTTTTCTTCATAGAAGTTGTGATGACATGGGCAGCAGTCATTCCTGTATGACTGATGGGTGTGGCCCTTCCCTCTTCTATGAAGAGAACCATCATAGGAGACTAGTGTCTTCTATTCACAGTAGCAGATTAACTCTTTGTTTTGACAACTGAAAAGTTGTCCCACACTGGCCCCCACGTTCACACGTTCTTAACGAGTTGTCCCGGAGTGGCCCCTGAATTTGGTTGTTATGTAATAGACAGGGGGGGCCACTCTGTGAAAACACCATGTACACAGTGGAAAATGCTGATTAACCCCAGAATTTGGAACCAACTGCAGCACCAAATACTTTCTTTGTATTAATGTTGTCTTTTAAGTTCTGAAACACACATGCACATGAGGGTTGGTCATTGTTTCATATTCGGAGTGCATAATGTAAAAACAATAATCTGTATAAAAACACTTCATACTTTATTCATAACATTTGACTATTATTGTACACTGATGATCTTTATTTCAATTTCTGTGTTTTGTACTACCTGCAGTTAGCATGTATAGTGGCATCAAACCCAACCTACTCACTCACTAATACATCCATACCCTTTGTGTGTTATGTTATGAAAGTAATATGTCTGTTCTAACACTTTTTGTGGAAAACGTAATTTTGCTGAATTTGTGTAATCAACTAAGCGTGATGACACATATTTTCTAAAATGTAAAACTGAGGAACTAAAAGTGATAATTATATCTGAGGAACTGAAGAACTAAATATGATAACACTTATGGGTAAGAAATGAATGTGTGAAGAACTAACTAAATGTGTAAACCTTTGTGTTAATGAATTTCTAAGAATTTAACTAATTTTACAAACCCCTAATATCTAAATTCTAACTCTATTAATGTTCAAAACATGGTTAAAAAAAACAACTAATCTAACCCTGAATATCTAACCTCTAACTTTCTTTACTAACAAAGCCCACTGATTGTCTAAGCTAATTTATGAATATCTAACAAATGACTGACTTTCTAACCTTACCCTAAATATTTTACCTCTGGTATCAGCGATGTTGAAAACCGACTTAAAATTCTAACATATGAAATCTGGGAGTGTGTAGTTCACTCGCAGGTAAATCTCGTGCAGTCAGTGTCTGTGGCAGTTTAACTCCGCGAAGTAGCTGCATTTCGAGGAATGTTTTTAAATTCCATAAACACTAACTGAATGAGATGTGTTTGGGTGAACTCTCCCGAAAAATGTCTGTCATTGGGCACAACATGGCCAGTCTGGCTTAACCCCTTCAACAGGATCTCAGTTAAAGCAGGTGAACTTGATATGTGAAGAAAGCCCAAAGGAATGCAGATCTTTGATATTTACCTCTTTGACAAAGTAAGGACAAGGTGCAGACAAACCTGGAAACTGATGAGGGCAATATTGGGATACAAACCCTTGACTGAAGACTTCCAGTGTGCCCAAGGGAGGCAACTGTGCACAGCGAACGATAGTCCATGATAGTCTGAGTATATCTGTGCTGTCTTGGCAGCTGTCAATTAATTATTGATATACATCCTGTCATGGTTTGTCTGTTACAAGTTATACAACTGTTAAATCTTTATGGGTTAATGTCTGTTTTAAAGATTAAAGGCTGATGTGAGTTGACAGTGCACATTGATCTTTCAATGTGTGACCAGATCAGTGTTCCAAACCATCTTGGATTATCCCAAAATGAATATCCATGAACAATGATGAATATATTCCGTTAATCCAAATTCTGCAATGACAAAAAAGCACTTTTTTTATTGCTGAGTGAAATCCTGCTTATATACAACAATGATTCACATAAGAAGTTTACAAATTATAGCATGGTACATCTAATGCTAAAGGTCATGTAGACATGGTAAATAACTGATGTGTATGTACATAATCATGATAATTTGTGACAGCATCAATGTAGATGAGTAATAATATACACGAAAGAATAAACAATAACACTAACATCTAATGATCTGAACCAAACATGATGTCATAACAAAGAAAAACAAACTTGCTAAAGTTCAGCTCCTCAATTACGCAAAATCAGTTCACAGAGTCAATATGCACTGGAATGCTGCAAAAGCAGATCTGGGTAAACTTTTACAAACTGTAAAGACTTTCAGTTAGGTGACATCACCCTATTTCAGACACTTCAACCATGTTTTGGTACAAACATAAAAGGAGAAGAAAAACTGACAAACAACATCCCAGAAAAATAAAAAAATAATGTATTCTTGCAACAATTCGAAATCAGGCCGAGTGCCTTGTGATGTCTTGAGCGTGCCTTGAAGCCACTCAAGAAGAGAAAATATTGCCTTTTCATTAAGTTATCAAATGACATGTTTTCTTATGAGCTGAAAAACTGAACTCCTCCTTGTATATTTCTGCTTAAAGTGGACTGTACGAATATGCCTTATTGTGGTATCAGAGCGGGTAAATGTTTTGTTACACAATGTGCAAGTTGCTCCATTGGTATATAACCTTACCAACTGAGAGTTCGATGATTTCTTCACATCTGCTGTCCTCCGGCTGGAGGCGATCTCTTTAGGCTCGCCAATGACCTCTCTATGTGGGATCTCTTCGACCTGGACCGTTGGCTCCTTTTTAGGCTCGCCAATGACCTCTCTATGTGGGATCTCTTCGACCTTGACCTTTGGCTCATTGCATGTCTTAAAATGGCGAAGCATGTTACTTTTAAAATGGAATGGTTTACCACAGTTACTGCAGGGATACCTCGGCGAAATGTAAACCTCTTTTGTCCTGGAATTTTCTTGCATGAAGTGTTTCTTTTCACTTTCACGACTGGTGCTGTCTGCAGTAGTGGATGGCATAGTGTTGTCCAAAACTACATGCTGTCTGTCCTCACCTGACTGCAACAAAGACTGCAAACAGAAAAACAGATGTATTTCTTCAACAGCTGCACGAGGTGGTTATTATAACTTTCAATTTACTACCAGCTGGCGAACAATTTGCTCCATTGTTTCTTAACCGTATGAAACCAAATTTATCTTGATGATAGATAGCTATTCGCTAATGTTTCCTGCTTGTTTAGGTTCTACTACACGAAATCAGAATCACTTACTTGCTGAGCCAGCGTTGTGTGGAAACTTCTGGCCAGATAGAGACGTGTGACAAATGTGATTTGATGAATATATGTTAGATTTTTATGTTTTTTAAAAGAACATCCATCCAGTGATTAAAACTGACCACAATTTGAAGTATTTAATGCAGTCATTTTTATCACCATGACTTATCATCAAGTTATGCTTAATGTGTGTACAGATATTTTCAAGTAGATCTACGTGACATTTGGTGCGGAACTGGGGATGATGTGCTCAACTTCCTGTGATCGGAAACTAGACTGCATAAGTTACTAATTAGTTAGCTGGAATTTGAGTTTTTATTGTAGTTTATTCATTTTATTTGTATAATAATATTTGTATAGACCCAATCTCCAGCTCAACTGCTCAAAGGCTCTCTGTTTTTCCCTTGATCATTGGATGTCAATCTTAAATGGCACATCGTATTATCAATCTCAACTCCACTAGGCTCACCGAGTTAATGTGGCTTTTCCATCCTTATGAGGTACCCATTCACAGCTGGGTGGACTGGGACACATAGTCACAGTACTTTGTCCAAGTTTACTGCACGATGCTGAACCCGCAACTAGGTGTTTGCACCATCTGGTCATTTACCAATGGATTCTTGGCTTCTTTTAAGTGCATGGTGTTGTGTATTGTACACTAGGGGTTGTGAAAAAATTGAAAGAGTCTGCACACAAAGTTGACTCCCAGGTTTTTACACCTGGTCACAGGTGGGCTCGATCCCGGCACCTCAAGCTTGCTGGACCACTAGCCTGGCGCCATAAACAGGTCGCCTACCATATCCCAAGTTTAAAGGCCAGACTGTGCCCATGGATGGCTGTTGACAGCCTTGATGATCTAAAATAAATGTAACTGTACTATAAAAGTCTATGGGAAAATCATGTTTTTTTTCTAAAACAGGAAGAGCAGCAGTACATATTATGCTTTCCTAACAACTACCAAGAGCCATTTCTGAATTTTTCATGTTATTCACCAAATGTGACATATGGTAATAAAAATATTGTCTTTGAAACTTTGACAAACTGAACAAAATTCATAAATGGAATTTGTTTTAAAAGATGAAATTTAAAAGAACAAAACTCACTCTCATTGTGAATGTTGATGAATGCTGATATAAGCTAATTTTATAGACGGTTTATTCACCTCAATTAATTTGTTTGTAATTGTCAAATCGTAACTGAATGGATGATATGAAATGTTTTATGTGCATATGTCTTAGTGAAAGGAAAACACATTGTAGAACATGTCCAGTTATGACATTATTTTAATATTAGAGAGAAACTTTTCATAATCATTTTAAATTATTACTTTAGACAAACGTGCATGTGAACAGAAATCAGAAAAGAGTGCATTTTTAAATCAGTTTTATTCACAATTCATTCCAACAAAATAACTGGTAACATTTTGTTTGATAGATCTTTAATATCTCAGGAATAGTGACTCATGTTTGAAATGTGATTTCTTATATAGGAATATTACTTTTGAAATAAAAGTAAATGCTGTAAATTTCACATTTGATAACTGCAGTCGGACTTTGTCTCGCAGAATACCCACTTTGACCAGACAGGATGGCACTGGAGTGTGTCTGATACCAGTGATCCACTGTGGTAAGTGGCCTTATACTGATGGTGGACAGCACCCAAGAATTGTTTGTTGCCTTCTCCCACTCTGACCAGAACAGGGAGAGGCGGCCACCCACATGGACATAGGGTAGAATCACGTGGGTGGTCCCTTGCCAAGTGACTGGCAGGGTTGGACCCGACTGAGCATCCTGCAAGCTTAATGCTGCTGCGAAAAGGCTGCTGAGAACCAGCACCACTCTTCCCTTGCCTCTTCCTTGGGTGGGGCGACTCTTCCTCCTACCCCAACCTTGCGGCCGAGGCTCTCCGGCAGAATTGGGCGCAGGCTCCGCCAAGAGGAAGAACTCACCGTGGGCGCGAGCAAACTGTGGGTGTTTCAACAAAAACTTAGAGTCTTTGAAGGAAGTCGCCACTACCACGGCCTCCCATATGACCTGCTGAGCCCCCAGAAACAATGTCGCGCCCAGCCGAAACAGAAGGGCCAGCAAGGTCTGCTGTGTAGCCGCTGAGTACCATGTCAACAGCCACAGCTTGGACATGCCCATAACTGAGCACATCACCTGTGACGCCGCTGACCTCAAAGAGTCACGTGTCAGGTGAGCCTGGACTTCAGTCAATTGGTGGAGAAGAACCACATTTGACGAAATGTTGTCAGGGTTCCCAGCTGTTTCCAAGACGGACATCTGAAGCGAGGAGAGGTAAGCGCCATGGACTGCAACCCGAATCTGCTGAATTCGGAATTCAGCTACGCCGTCAGCAGAGGATCTCCCGAAGAGGAAAACGTGGGAACCAATCTACCCTGCTTGGCGGCTGGAGCAGCTGTCTTCCACCACCGGCACCTGGAGTAGCGAATCGTCCACCAACCGGTAACTTCTAACAAGCTCAGGCAGGTCAAAACCAGCAAGCAAGGGAACGACCACATCCCGGACCAGCAATGGCAGAACACAGAACTGGGTCTGGGTAGGCAGCCTAGGGGCGAAAGCCTCCCCCGGTAGGCAGAACTCAGCCTGTGGTAATACCACCGCTATACGCTGGCGAACTTGCCTCAAAGCCGACGCTGAAAGCCCCCCTCGGGTTCCTCTACATCTCCCACCTCCATCGATTCGGGCTCCAAACCTGAGCCTGAGCCAGGGATCCTCCCAAGAGAGGACCCAACAACAGACCCAATCGAAGACTGACACAAGGCCGCGCACGTAGTAAGAGTACCCCGGTCACGAGACTCGGGAGGACGCATTGGCTGAACAGTGGCCTCCAAGCTCAAGGGCGCTTGAGTGGTCGAAGCATCCGAAACAGCGGGGATACTAAGCAGAAAACGAGCCAAGAAAGTGAGAGGGACTGGGCGTGAACCGCGAACCCTCCCTCTTCACCGGAGCCGAGGCTACTGGACCCACCGCCCAAGGCATTGGAACAACAGCCGCCTCCAGGCTAAGCAATTGAGCCGAGCCCGGCGACCCCACACACGATCTCTCCGAACCACCTGCCGAACCAGTGAGGAACTCCTGCCGGACACCGTCAACCGATTCATGCAGGAGATACATCATTGAGTCCATGTGTTTTGTTGGAAAAGTTGATGAATTATTGACATATCAAATGAAGGCTGAAGACTAGAAACCGAAGAAGACGATTTAGAGCTTTTAGGTTTTTTTGCCTTTTTAGCCTTAGAGGGAGGAACCTCCTCTGTAGAATCACCCCCGCCTCTCTTAAGTTCTTTAAAGAAGAGGAAATCCACTACTTGTCTCTTACGAGCCTTTGGAGTAAACCAAAGGCAGAGCTTGCAAACATCAGGGTTGTGGACTGCCTTTTCCAGACAACAAAGACTCTTGTCATGGCTATCTTGCGGAGGGTGATTTGAGGAAACGACTGAAAGCAAACATGCAAAGCATAACGCTAACGGCAGACAGTCAACAATACACAACACAACAAGCATACATAAAACATTGAAAATACGTGAAAGAGGACTCAATATGATGCAATATGAAACATCGTTTAAATAAGCAAGTTTCAAGTAACGTGAACCAACGTAGGTTTCCCCACCATGGAAAAGCAATTTATACGTCACAATAAATAAAATATGCATAACTGCAAAAGTCAATAAAGGGTTCCTTTAGAACGTAATAAGGACCAAAAACATACAGTATTCGATGTCTGAGACATTATCTCAAGTCAATCTTGCACAGCACGTGTGGCACATAGCATGACAACAGAAGGAAAGATGATTTGGGCTAGGGGTGGTGAGGTAACTTCACGTGGTGGGGGCTGTATAGTAAATAAAAAGGCTTTTTTATTCATTGTACAATATTTTATTAAAACATTGTTACAACTGTCACATGACATTTTCAGTCACAGAAAATGCATATATGTACCCCAAGGAAGATCTCTGTGAAGAAGAATATGGAAGTACAAAAAGCTGCCTGCGTAAGTGCCACAGCCAGGTGTTGGTGATAACTGTTCGCCAGCCAGTAAAGGACATTTTGTTACAAATTCCAGCCACAGATGCCTGTAGTTATGGGAATTACTTGGGTGCAGGCTTGGACTTGGTGTAAGAAACATCCCAGTTGTTAGGGTACAATTGCCTGATCTGTTCACTCACCTCTTTCAACAAACATGCTTTACTGGGAACCAGTTCTGTTCTTGAATCACTACTCAAAACCCTAATTTTGTAAAACATGACCAAAATGCTGTCCACTATTACAAAACCTTCCAACACTTATGTCAATTAATTGACAATGCAGTGATCACTGTTAAGTTCTGGGCAAGACAATATATTTAAGAAATTGCTTCAACCAAAAATACATTGACTATAACTAACAGCTCAGGTCACATAACTTTCTGTTGTCAATCTATTAACCAAAAGCAACCAGGATTACAATGATAACAGACACTACAAATACTGTAGTGTGACCAGCAGTTACCACTTCAGTTACCAGCACAATCACAAGGAAGCTTTCCGAACAAGCTGAGGTTGTCATGTCATAATATGTATGGATTGCCTTCATCACATTCTGTGTTTCAGCTATACAAGTGGTAGGTTATGACATGTACTTTAAACTAAACATAAATTCTAGCACGACATTGTGATACTCGATTCTGATTGGCTGAGAGCTCATCAAAGCCGTACTTAAATGGCAGTTTAAGGACCGTTAATATTAAAGTGACCGATTGACCGCATATGAATACAATGAACTCGTTGACCCCTTT